TGTTTTATACAAAGCAAAACATTTTACTCTTGCTTTTAGCAGCGAGGGTAAAAAGCCTGCATTCTTCTGAACATTGCTGAAAACTTTGACTGCCTTAAGGTTACATTCAGCAGAAATAAATTCTGATGCCACATTGCATTGCTCTGCAAAGTATGAAGAGATACGTAAAGGTGTGCGTGAAAGCTTCAGGTTTATCCAGTCGTGAGAGGTGTACCTTTCGTCCTCTGAATAAGTTTCGCTGGTAAGTCCATCCGTTGCAGAACCTCTGCACCTTTGGAGATAGCTCCAGTGCTCATACCCACTCTCTCAGCATATAAACTGAAAAGTCCGAAAGCATTCTGGAGAATGCAACCAAAGGTATTCTACATGAGTGACTAGGTTGAGTCCAACATCGACTTCCCAAATATTCAATGAAGCCAAAGTGTCAATTTCCTTTTTTTTTGTCCACTCAGATTAAAATGGGCTGAAAGTTTTCACCACGAATATGTCATTACATAATGTAGGGTGAAAAAACCTAGAAGTAAACTTGGGTGAACAGCCTTGCCAGTCTCTCACATGACTACACGTGAGCATCCTTCAAGCAGTAGTTAACGAGCTTACCAAATTCTCTGCTTCTTCAATTCGAGGCTTGGCAGACAGTGTTGGAAACACCAAGTCAATTTGTACACCCCTACTTTGAAGCTTATCCTATTGGAAAAAGCGATTTGGTTGATTAGGTTACAACGGATGAAAGTAACTGTTGATGATACTATTCTACATAAGCAGAAGGGAACAAAATCCAAAATATTGTGCCTGAAGCTATGGGCAAGAAACAAGCACTGTAGGTAGTTCAAGCGGATTAGTTTCAAGCATGTCATCCATGAATATTAACACATTTGAAGAGATTTTATTAAGAAAATTGTCAACTACATTGAAACAAGAAGTTCAAAAGATACAACACGTTAGAGCTGAAAGGTTCAGTCCATTTGTACTTCCTAGTCTGTGAATACCAGTTTCGGCTTGATGTTGTCTTCTACAACAGTAGTAGACAGAAGAAGCCGTATGCGGTCACCAGAGCGAACATGTTCCATATTTTCCAGATCTGTGTCTTCTGTTTGTGATATCACAAAATGCCTTCCACCAATATCAATGGGTATTGAAGCGATTTTCTGCAGAAGATGTTCTCATTACTATTTGCCTGTTATAGTCAGAAGAAAATTTATGCTCAGAAACAACGTAGAATGATTCACCTCCCGTTCCTGTATATTGTATTTCCCGTATTATTATATATCCCGTGCTTCAACGCAAAGTTCGAGTTTAGATACCGGACCTCCCATGAACTGTTGAGAAGTAAAAATCGTTTTGTTTGGCCAGTTTCACTTGCCGAGATTTGATATGGGGAGCCCACGTATTCAATCTGGGTATTGTCAACAACATGAGGTTTGTGATAATGCCCTGTGAAGACAGGTATATTCTCTGGAAAGATCGATGGCTCAACACCTTCTTTGGCCTGGCAGGCCTCGTTCATAAATGCACCAACCTGATATATTCAAATGCAATTCTCTTAGTGAGTACTTAATCGATAATATGAAGTTCGGGCCCGTGTCTAACCATTGCAAATTTTCCAAATGCCTTTCTGAACTATGCCTTTACTTTACTAGTGTTCTACAAAGGGCTGCTAAATAAGAATTCCATGATTCATTGCAACTTAAGTTTCAGTGAAGAACTTTGTGAACCTACCACATCAAGATGCGCAAAAATGGCTTTCACATTACAATGCTGCTTCAGTGCTGCGTCGATGACATTATGGTCGCGACGAAAGGGCAACCACAATGCGCCTAGAAACTCTACAGGCTCGTCAAAAACTCTGATAAGGGGATTCACGGCTCCGAGAACCATCAGAGCATGCATCTGACCACCCATATTCACCTGAATCCAATAAGAGCAATAATTGAGGAGAATAACTCTATTGCAAGAGCTTAACTGCAATCATGACACGCGACAAATTGAAAAACGTAATTAATCATGCATGCTCCATCTCTCAGTTGATGCAACAGGCAGTGTGCGTGGTAGAATGATAAACAAAGAACCTGGTCATGATTGCCAGGAATGAATATTGCTGGGCATGACCATTTTGCAAGCTCTGTGACAACAACATTGAGTAGTTCCACAGGTAGAGCTCCTCGTGCATGCCAGAAATCCCCCAAAAAAATGATACCAGCATCCCTGTTTGCAAAAAATCAGTATCCAGTTTAGAATCAATGGCTCGTCAGCACTTGTTGTAATCTACCACAAACAGCAAATAACTGATTTAAGGCGTATGTCACAGGAGACATGTACAGGACAGCAATCAAGCTTCTAGATCCAAATTATGATGTTCCCTTGTTTACATAGTACCTTATAAATATAATAGCTCCTTGAAAAGTACAGATGAAACTCTCAGTAGTTGTAAAGAGGTACAGTTTAGAAGTGCAATCAAGGTTGTGCTTGCGAAAAGACAGCAGATGAATGTGTTAATGACCAACGAACCTGCTAGATGCTTCAGCATGTACTGCTTTCAAGGTTTGTAAACACGACTCCAGAGTACGCCTACTGACATGTAAATCTGAAAAAACAACCCATTCTTTGACTCCGGACCATATATCTATGTCCTTTCCGGGCTCCTGCAATATAGACAACTGGTCACGTACCCTTTGCTCATCAGGCTTACATTCAAACGAGAAATGGACACTTCAGAGGAGCGGAGTGAGGAGTGAGGAATGCAGATGTGATATTACAGATTTTATTTTGAAATTAATTGCCAACTCAAATTTCCAAAGACAGAATGTGGAGAAACAGGGATGTGCAGAACAGGGGAAAAAACAGTTGAAGTAAAAGCATACCTTCAATGGGATGGTTTTGTCAATTCCGACACCAGCTGCAGCCTTCGATTTTGTGGCTCTCTTTCTTGTTTTCCGCGGTGTTTTCGCGTTATCGATTTTCGAAGGAAGATCAGTTGAGGATGTCTCCGACACAGAGCAGGCGACCGAAGTGAGAAGACCTCTTCTGGAGCTGCACTGAAACTTCGATGATGGTGATGCAAAAGCTACTGAGAGAGAACCTCCTAAATGGCAAGAAATGAGATTCTCAGCTACAAATTCTCGAGCTGCCCGCAGGGGTCTGGAGAGGTTCAGGGTAGACATCATGAACTTAAATTGTGGCCGGTAAATGAAGAATGGAGTATGATATACACTACGACAGATATGGACACAGCGCAGCGGAAGCCGTGTCAGAGGCTTCAAAGCCATTACATGAAATTGTTGTTGAACCCTAAACTCCTACGATTCACGATTTTATTTCCTGTGTCTGGAATCGGCACTGCTCAGGAAGTGAAAATTCCGCGCAGTTTTGGATTTTGGCCGCGGCCATCTTCTGCAAATCCAGTCATAACTTCAAGTCTTTCGACCTCCCTTCTCCAGTCACAAGAAACATATAACACGATTCGTTTCCGCAAATGAGGTTTGCGTGTGATGTTCCTGTTGTCTTTCATTCTTGATTCTACACAAAAAGTCAACAATTCTCAGCCAAAAAATCTCGGGGAAGAGTCTTCAGATATTCTGAGAACTCCTTTCTGCATGTAGACATGGTAATGAGAGGTGATCATATAAACATATAGCATAACTTTTCAAATCACCAATGTTACAACTGAAGATTTCGATTTCGATTTCGGCACTTTGGCCAGCTGATTCGTTGTGCTGCACCCTATCCAAGCCGTGACAGGAAAACCATGGCCTTTAGGCCGCAAATGGAACATTGGGCAGAAAAAAATTGTGCTTCTCACCGAACAACTGATCTGACGATCAGCTCAAAATTCAAATCTCCAACTAGGAGGGGAAAGCGAACGCTTCTTCATCTCCCTTGATGTGCCCGAACTTAGAAACATGGGAACTCTGTATCCTCCTGAGGTTGACGCTAGTAAAACACAAAACAGAGAATCCTTGACATACCAGATTCGGATCCTTTGTCGTCTAATCAGGTATTCGCCTTTTTGAGTCTACGATGTTACCACGTACTGCTCGTTGTCAAAGAAAGGTAGAATTGTATGTTATGAATTCATGGGTACATATTTTCACTTTTTAATATGTCTGTGTAATTAAAAACTCTTGTCATCATGTTCTTAAAGAGACTAGAAATCAGCATTTGAATGGTTGAAAACGACATTTGGTACCATACGACCTTTATCAATTTCACTTCTTCAGCTACTTGGTGAGTTACGTCTCTCAACAAGTATTCCACCTCCAGGTCACTCCATGAATTTTTATTCACTTTGGTGATTATGATACTTTGCCTCTCACTAAGTTATTTGATAATCCATAGAAAGTCAAGTATGGAAGGAAGTGCAACCAGGTTAGACGGAGACCCCATACTTGAAACACCAGTCCTGGAGTCTATTCTACTCCCCGCAAGAGCTTTGCCTCACTTTTATCATGGAATGAAGCTCACTGAGTCATAACCCTAGGGCCATGCGTTCTCTGTGCGGAAGGGGGAACTTGGCAGGCGGGCCAGTGTGATCTCTTGGAATCAATACAGCATTTTTGGGAGCCACGAGTAAAACACGCTTTGATTACGTTGGGGGCTCTCATTCTTCTTCTATTACAGTATATAGTAAAGACCGAACTTACTAAGTCGACGTGATGAGACACTCGACGAGTATTTATTATCGTGGACGAGTGCCTGGTCGTCTAGAATGTATTTCTTTCCAGATTATAAGTACTCTGGGACCCAGTTCAGTAGAGCTTCTTACATCATGGTTCCACCTCCTGGCTCATACGAGGATGTTAGTGTTTTCTTTTAAAACGTGAAGTCAGAGCTCCATTGGAAGCGCGTGGATAAACTGAGGTATGGAAATCCTCATAGTGGCGTGAGGTAACTGAGGTATGCGCAAAATACGTATCAAGTCGAGGCAACCTGGGAATTCCAAGTAGCTTCAATCCACTCGCGGTCTAATTCTAACAGACTACGTCTCCGATGCACGTGAAAATTGCATGTGTCGAAATTTGAACCTAGATCATTTGCTCGGAAGGCAATTATCCTAACCGTTGGACTACAAACGGTGGATTACGATTGAACAAATAAATAGATTAATATACATAAAATTCCAAATGTTCACAAAGTGGAAAAATAAGAACTGCATCCAACATTAAGTTATTACCATTGAATTACTATGTTATTAATAATTTAATAATAACCTTGTGAGAGAAAATTTACATCTGCAGGTGTTCTCAAGGTTTTCCGCCACAAATACATAGCTTATTATTGAATTACTATGTTATTAATAAATCAATAATAAACTTGTGAGAGATTATAGTCTAATGTGACCATAATATGGAAGTTGGCTTTATAAGGAGTACAAACTCTCACACATATTTTCACGAAGGTTGTTTGAGAACATGGATGTAAATTTTCTCTCACAAGGTTATTACTGAATTACTAATAACACAGGAAGGATTACAAGAGTATTGTGACCATGAAATTGTGAGTAGTTTGATAAGGAGTAAAAATTGTCACACATTTCACATGTCACCTTGTCATACATTTTTTCTTGAAAAGTCTTCTACATTTTATTTTATTTTTGGAAATTGCCATAGTTTTAGAGAAAAAATAAAAAATAAATTCTTCCCACAAAAGTGGTGCCAAAGGTGAGATTTTTCTTAAATGTTGAAAAATCAACAAATCCAAAAGCTAATTGTTGTGATATATGTATTACATCTCATACTTCACATGATTTGAGGAAAAGTTGCTATTTTCTTCAAGAAAGAAGGTTTTGTAATATTTGGCTTGGAATCAAATATAGGTTGTGTATGAGGAAATCAATTTTTGGCTTGCATTTCCACTTTTCTGAAGTTTTTTTTCCATATACAACATGAAATATAAATATGAGAGTACCCCATAAGTTTCTATTACTACACTTTCCTTGATGTAGAAATTGTAGACTTCTTTTTTGATGTAATTGTCTAGCAAATAAAAAAATGATTTCTTAAGAAATTGTTGTCGCATGGACATTGCTTCACTCAGAGAACATAAGGGTCATAAGGATTCTTCTACAATTAATTATTCTCAAAATTTTAAGCTATAGAAGAACTTTCATGACCCTTGTGAGCTGCTATTCTCTTTTTCTATTCCTCACCAATTTTGGTAAAACTCTTGCATAAAAAGATAATGATATTTAGCAATTGGAACATTAATTCTTGTCTAGATTTTACAACCTTATTGTGTTCTCATAAAATTTCATTATGTTTTTCTATTCCATGTCTCTTTTATATCACAAAGTGATATGCAAACCCCTGTGTACTAAAATCATAAGACATCCCATTGCTTTCAAATTTTAGAATAATATTTTTTATCATCCGAGCTTTGACTCTAAAAATTTTTAGTCATGAAAATTTCCGATAACAAAAATTATGATCACTATACTAACTTCATGATAATCAATGCTATCATGCAACTTTGATTGTGAATATAAATTTCAAACTATCATTTCGTATTCAAAACTTCTCCAATTGATTTGAAATTTTAACTTAATTAAAGCTTGATTGTAAACTATATTTCAATTAAATCAGATTCCTCAAAACCCTCATAGTTTTTTCAAAATAGTTTCAAATACACTTCAGGGTTTGAATTTGAATCTCCAACTTCACATCATTAGAATAGATTGACAATCCACTCAATTGCATTCATTCTTCAGCCCATCCGATAGCTTTCATTGTTAGCTTTTAAACTCTCTTCCAAATTTACAACTGATTTTCAAAAAGATTTTTTAAACTCTTCAAAACCTCAAACAACTTCACCTAAGTACCATCATTGGTCCAAACTTCACAACCGATGAGAATGAAGAGTGATTTTTTAGACCTCTAGTGTGGCCAAATAAGCTTCATATTAATTAAAAGCTTTACAACTAACCTAAACATACTACTTAACCATCATATAAATATGAGCTATATGAGCTACAATAAATAAAGAGTCAAAATAATAATTTGAAATTAACTTAATATGAATAGAATTACAAATGGAACATGGGAGTTTATAACTTGAGAATAATAATACTCGCCAAAATTCCTAACAATCAACTTCCTATAGCTTACTTTCAGTAACAATAATGATGGATTGAAATCCACATGTTAAAAAGTCACCACTATTGACAAGTTTAGATCCATAACATTTAAACTAATTCTAGTTTAAACGTTATATACTAACCATGCTTGAAAGTGATCAAGATAAAAATACCGAATGTTGATCACAAATGGATTGGGCATTGATTCTTATGGAGAATCATGTTGTACTCTATTCATATCTCACGTTGGCTTCTTTACAATCAAATAAGTTCCTTTGTCAACAAAGCAAAGTTTTAGATCTCTCCCATCCCCTTTGCATCTTGACCACATTTTATATTCGATAAGGTTCAAAATAATATCTTTTAGAGCTTTATCTATATCCTCACCCTACAAAGTCAATTCAACTATGGAATCTTAATAAGCTTACAATGAGTAGTCAGTAATCATGACCTTAAATATTATCGTCATAACAACAACTTTAAGGATGACACATGTCATCATCTTCTCATAAGAAATTTGCATCACATCACAACACAACCTGTGCATCCTTATGTATGCACAAGAAGTTAACCAAGGTATGTGTAGTGTCATATAACGTCAATCTAATCTTTTTTTCTAGCTAGATCCTTCACTTATAACTTATCTTCACCAAAACAGTCAAACTCCTCCTCCAGTTGATCAAAGTTGATATTCTTATCTGATTTTTGAACATCTTGATGCGGTGTCTTGCAATAGATATCTTGAGCTTTGTACCATCCAACTCTCTAAGCAAATAAGTAAAATTATCATTAATATTAATCACCATATATGGTCTAAACCATGTCTTCAAAAATTTCCTGAAGGTGTTATGTTGGTTATCTAGACCTTTATCATACATCAACATCCAATCACCTTCTTTGATCTCCTTTGGTCTCAACCTATGATATTTATCAAATATATTCTTGTTCCTAAGATGTAACTCCCTAAGTCTCCCCATTGTCTATTGTATGTCCTATGTTCTCCTCTCCAATTGTCGATTGTTTATTGCCAAAAGGTATTATCTATTCATATTTTCCTCCCAAGCCAACACACTCCATGCTGGAATGTTTGCCTCTATATGTTGTGTGGAAATGTGTGACAAATTTTACTTCTTTTCAAGGGACCTACTATTTCATGACACAAATTACTCGTTTAATTTATCATTGTGTTTTTAGGGAATTTTAGTCCATTAGAGTTTTTACATTGATAAGATACTAAAACAATTTTCCATGGATACTACTCACCCTTTGGGTTCATCTATGTTGGTTTGTTGTTGAGATGTGCACAGGGATGAATACATACCTTGCGATGAGGGAGAGCAATGTCTAGGACTTGAGACTCCATACTTGGCAGCAATTGAAGCACTCATGTACCTTGCAAAGGAGTGTCCTGATTCCACTCCTGTGTGCAACACTCCAAGAGCCCCTTTCCAATCACATCTCCACTACAAGCCTAGCAGACTAAATCCATGACCCAATTCCACTCCCTTGGCTCTTTCCTTTGTCTTTCTTCGTTTGGTCATTTCTGAGCTCCGCAGCAGCAGGTTTGGCCACTATTCTCTTCGTGCAAAATACCAACAAAATCCATCCAATGTTCTAACCTTTTTTTCATGATTTTTGATAGACTGAGCCCCACCACTCTCCTCTTCTCTCTCTGTCTCTCGCTATCAAGATCCTATATTACCTAAAAGGGATTCAAGACATGGGCTTATTCTACAAGACTAGAGAGAGTAATGAGATCATTGGATACGTATATTTAGTCTACTTGTCTCATTCTCATCATGGGGGATTTCAAATCACCTATGTATTTTTTAAACAAGAAGCATCCATTTCTTGGAAGTCAACTTAGCAAACTATGGTAGCTACATCCTTCAATCATGCAGAGATATAGGCAGTACAAGAATAATCATGTGAATGCATGAGGCTAAAGTCAATTGATGGTATTATCTCAGGTTCATGTGGTTTTTTAGAGGAACATGCTCCCCCAATCCTATTCTACAAGGACAATCTCCATGGATCACGCAAATGAAGACATCTTACATCAAGGATGATTGCATTAAAACACATTTCTCCAAAATTCTTTTTCACACTTGTGTTGTTGGACTCTTGGATCAATGTGAAACAAGTTTAGTCAATAGACAACTTTGCAGGTTTATTTACAAAGTCTATACCTATGACAATCCATATATAGCTTGTATGGGATAAGTATGTATAAGCTAGAGTATCTAGAAGAGACATGTTATAGTAGGTTTGTCTAGATGCTCCTTTTCCTCTTTTTTTTTCCTTATTTGTGAGTTTTTATTTCTAAAATAATAAGAAATTTTTCATAAGATAATTTTTTTTACGAGAAAAGCCGGATATTATAACATTTATTTACTCAAGAATTGATGTAATCCATTTGGTAGAGACAAGAGTAAAATTTATAGTTAGTTGGCTCGTCAAGGGGGAGTGTTGTAGGAATACAACCTACACTGCCATGTCAAATGAGGCACCACACACATGTATTCCTAAAATACCAATGACACAGGTTGTGTAACCTACATTGAAATGTGATCACTATGTTTGCATGTGAATTATATATATATATATATATATAATTCTTCTTTTTTTTTCTTCACATTATGACAGATCAGATCTCAATGTTGTGTCATATGTGTTGTATTCTAATGTGGTGTGCTCTCAGTCTTGTAATTTCTAAAACGGATTCCTAATCGGCAAGATGAAGCTATGCGTTGAACATCCTCATGGTTCTAACAACATGAGGGACCTTCTTTGAGGTGGACCTGTTACAGATCACGTTAGGCAGCAACACTTATCTCAGCCCAGATATTCCCTTATGTGATGGGTTCAACTTTTACTTAGAAAGCCGTGAGTCGATGAAGCCTCCCCTGATAAAAATAGATTCTTCTTCTATGATAGCTTCAACTTTTACTTAGAAAGCTGCTAGTAGATGAGGCCTCCCCATGTTAATGATGTTTGCCTTCA